ATGCAAATATTCCTAATACATATGATATGCTCCGCTGCCTAATACATAATAAAATCTTTCTTTGGTGATGGAAGATTTTTTTCCTTGCTTCCAGGCCATCCTAACATTCTAGAACCCTTGAATAGAGCAGTACTGAATGTAGTAAAAAGCACAGAGCCCTGGACAGTGTAAAAAGTTTAGAGGACAAGGACACTGATAATGGCTCTTGGAAATTAAATAAATAAATGAAGCCAATTAAATAGAAGTCTTCATAAATAAAGTTCAGGAGATCTCCCAGAACATAAAGCAAAAACTCAGAGGGGGCTATGTAAGACAGAAAAAAATAAGGTTCAACTTTAGAATAAACAGAACTCCAGAAAAAGAACACAGAGGAAAGGATGTCACTAAAGGAATAAATTAAGAAAAATCCAGCCCTGGCTGGTGTAGCTCAGTGGATTGAGCACATGCCTGCGAACTAAGGGATCGCAGTTCGATTCCCAGTCAGGGCAAATGCCTGGGTTGCAGGCCAGTTCCCAGTAGGGGACACAGGAGAGGCAACCATACATTGATATTTCTCTCCCTCTCTCCTTCCCTTTCCCTCTAAAGATAAATAAATAAAATCTTTAAAAAAAAGAAATAGTAGGTGTCAGTAAGTGGTTTTGTTTTATAGATGACCGTTCTGTTGCAGGAAAATGAAGTGACCAGACACTGGGGGTTTCTGGAGTACGAGGTTTATTTAATGTGCACGGGCCCAGAGGAGTCAGTCTCCAAATTCTGAGCCCCGAACAAAGGATTCTTGGGGTTTTTATAGTTTACAGGGTCTTCTTGTCTACTTAGCAAAGCAGGATACAGAAGCGGAATGCGGAAGTCAGTTCTAGCTATGAGGCAGAAGCAGAGGACAAAGGCTAAATTCGAAGGTCAGTTTTTAACAGCAGGGGTGTTAATCTCAGTCCTAGCTAATGCACTGTTGTTTACTTATCCTAGACGGCCCCATCATTCTCTCTAGGGCACCTGGGACCTGGGCAAATAAAGGTTAAACAGAGGTTTTTCAAAGTTTCCCATATCAGTTCATTTTATGGTATTATGTAAAATTTTGATTTATCAAAGTAATTCCCGTATATAGTTAATTATATATTACTAATATCTTTCTTATCAAAAATAGTCCTGAGCCCACTTTCCCACCTCTTGACCCCCAAGGCAGCCACCTGTACCTTTTTAACCTGTACCTTTTGGTAATTACCCTCATAATTTTAGATAATAAGCATATAGTATTGTTTCTCTGTAGGACACCGTTCTGCGTGGTGTGGGCCCAGCTCCCACTCGGAGATGCACAAGACCCACACTTATGGATAGGTTCTCTTGTGAGGAATCAGGCCTGCAATGTGCCTAGGCCGCTTTGAGTCTTGCTTTTGCTAAAAACTCCCTCACTAGGATTTGTGGCAAACATTTACTGCAAAATAACTTCCTAAAATCCATGCTAAACCTTCCTAAAATCAGTGTAACTGGTCCAACCACTTTTCCCTTTTTACTTGCAAATATCCCTCTTCTGTGATGTGATTAGTGGCATTGCCTCCTTTGTTTTCTGTAAAAGGAAACCACCTAAAGCAACCTGTGCATAGTAAATGAGGATGATTATATAATGTGCAGAGAAACCAAGTAAAGGGTGGTCACATCAAGGGCCTTGACTTTCACTCCCCTGGAGAGGAAAAGCCATGCTGTCCCTTTTCCTCCACAGGACTCAGTAGTCCATGTGAATGTCTCATTTCACACATAATGATGTGGACACTGTGAGCCGGTGTCCACATCATTTCTTGATTTGTTAGCTTCAGAGAGCATTTACTGTATTTACTGACTTCCAATGACAATCAGTGAGAATTTCTTTCTTACCCTAACTTCTTTTCTCCATTTTCTCAGTAGAATTACAGTTTTCGGTTAAAATGGTATTCAGTGTTTACACTATTACGACTGTAAATATTGTTCACAGCTGATTATATACAATGATTATTTGCATGATATGGATGTTTGTTTTCTTGGAATTAATTATTTCCTTTCATTTTCTTAATTTTCGGTGCATGCACTGCTTGTCTGTCTCTAACGCATCAACAGTTTAATGCCTGGCAAGCACTGTTTCAACTTCTCAAACACATCGAATTTTCCCATCAGTTCTTTTTTTCCATCCTGGAAACCCCCCTCCACAGTGTTCTGTCCTTTCTGTGGAATGTGGGCAGCTGCTCTCTAGCCCAGCCTGACATCCTGCTAGGACTTTGCTTAGCCATTTTGGTTTGGGGATTGTTTTTGAGAAAATTTGTTGATATGAACATACCTAGAATAAGAAAACATTAATATTTTAAAGGGAATCCTAAATTATTAATATATATGCTGCTTGAATGTCCTGAATTCACCAGCCTGTGAGAGCACATAAAATGGGGTCACATTTACTTTGGATGCCCAAATTATAATGGCTCAAATCCTCACGATTTGAAGGTAAGATCTCAGGACCACTAACTTTGCAAAGTGCCCTCTGAGGTCTTCTGTGGGTCCCTAAAAGGGACTCATATATGCTCTCTACGTAGTCTGTCCACAAGGCTTTTGGCATGTCTTCCACTTCTTCTCTGCCCTGGGTCAATATGTATTGCCCTGAATGCTGTTTGAAGTACCCTCGTGCGGACAGTATCCCTCACTATTGATGGTATTGCTCATAAGGTCAGTGTGGTATTTGCCAAGGTGCTTTCCCCTGATTTTGCCATTTCCAAGAAAACCAGGGAGTACTAGGCTTGATGAGAGATAATAAGAATGACTCTTTCCCAAATTCCACACCACTTTCCCACTTTCCCTCCTCCATTGCTCAAAGTCCAGAGCTCACAGTCTCTTTCAGCTTCTCCTCTTTGCAGTTTCCTGCTTGAAAGAACAAAGCCAGCCCCATTTGCTCCTGTGGCACCATTGCCCACCAGGCCTGTGACCTTGTTGAACATGATTGCCATTTTACTCTTCTGAGCTTGTCCCCAGGACTGGCAAGTACTGGAAAGCAAGAGCGGAACTCACTCTTCCCTGAAGCCACAGGCAGAAGAAAACAGTGGAACAAACTGCAGCCTCATATTACAGTGCAGCCCAGGGGCCACAGAATAGCAAGCCCCCCCTTTTTAAATCCAATTATAATGTGATAAAAATTCAAAACCCTCACCCCTCAATGTCAGTTTATCTCTCCACACCACACCCCCTCTCCTTTCTTGGAGAGTGAATAAAAACTTTATTCTCTACACTTTCTTCTCTTTGTAAATTCTTCCACAGCCTGCACCACTGACCAACCTAACAGTGTTTACATGCCTGCCCCTAATTTCTCTGTCTAAACCGAAAACAATTAATAGTCACAACCAGCTGCTAAGCACCTTTTCTGTTGGGAACAACACAAAAGCTTGAGGGCTCAGAAACAAATCTCAGCCACATAATTTACTAGTAAGCCAGAATGTTTCACATTCATATTTTAGAGAGTTCTCCAGCCAGGGAGGCAGTCAGCTTCAAAGTGAGATGAAGTCTCCATTTTCGAGCTAGAACACTACTGGTACCTTTCAAATGATGGACCTCTTTTTTTGCTAAACAGGAATTGAAATACCTTTGAGTCTACTCTCAATCCAAGTACCATATTGCAAATCTTTGAGGATGTCTATGTTCTTTTAGAAAACCCCAAATATTTTTTCCTTGAGAAAATCTGGAAAACCTTCATAGATATCTATTGGTGATAAAACAGAATTAAAATATCAAATATTTCAGACTTTTCACGAACTAGACTGGTCTTTCATCTAAAATAGTCTGAACTTGCTGAGTTAGCATTTTCAAAGAATACTTAAGTGTGAAGATGCTGCCAACAGAGAGACTGCTGGCAGACCACAAGAAAGATTTTTTTTCTTGTGAGATTTAAAGTACAACTAGGGCTGATCTTTTTTTGCCAAATGAGATAATCATTTTCAAAGTGAAGGCCATGTTATTTCAGAAAGAAATTTCAGGTGGTCCGTGTGCCCCCTCTTTAATGTTCTCATTTTCCTCACTTAGTGAACGAGGACAGTTGAGTTCATAATTTACCTTGTCAGTAAGAGGGAGAGCCAGGATTTTAATCTAGGTCAATTTGACTTCAAAACTGGTGGCTCTTTTCTGCTTACTATATCATGATGTGTCATTTTGGATGGGTACAGAGATGACCTTAAGGAAGAGGAGCTGATTTGGGAAACTCCCCAGCCATGTGGGTTATTCTGGGAGTCCCCTCGCAACCATAATGGTTCCTTGGTGACACTCACTCTGTGGTGAAGTATGTTCTGCATCTGATTCCCTGTGCAAACTAGTCCCAAACTGAGACAGGATGGTAAGAAGCTAGGAAAATTCCTGGGCAAGTGGGAATGGGGAAACTGAGACAAAATTAAACAAGGCCAAATCGTTTGAGCAATTTACAGCCAGCTGGTGAATCACAAGGTTCTGTCTCCCCTAATCAAGGACATTTGAGAATAAATGGTTTATACCTCTCTTCCCTAACCAGAGAATATATAACCTCCCAGACCTTAAACCAAAAGTGTCCAGGGAAGAGAGGCATTCTTATGCCAATGGACAGATAACATCAGAACAAAGGGAGCCAGATTGGGTGGAGACTGCGGGACTCCCCTTTCAGCTCCCTCTCCTCTTACTCCCCAGAAGAATGGCAAGTCCGTGCTCTTCCTAGGAATTTCCCCCTCCCAAATTCTCAGGTCCCCCGGTTTAAACTTGCTTCTGAAAGCTCAAAGGAAGGTGGATGTTTGGGTTTTTACCTGCCACCTTCTCAGACTGCAGGCCTCTGATATTAATGAGAGCAGTTGTAATCCAGTCCTTGCCTCTTCTTTTTGGCTGAGTGGTGACAGGCAGCACAAGCCTTGGACTTGGTTGTCAAACCTTACTGTTCTTTCAGTTGCCTTTTCTTCCAGCAGTTTTTGGAAAGAACCCAAGTAACTGGTTGCTGATCTTGCACTCTATAAGCCATCCAAGTGGCAGTCATGGCTTACCTTTCCTATGACATCTGTTAACAGCTTGAGAGCCAGAGGATCATGAACCAAGGAGTCTGTGTAAAAGGAACCAAGGTATTTCTTTGGGTTGATTGGATTGTACTGGGCACACAAATCTGGGCACATGCTGAATCCATGGGAGATTCTTCCTATTGTAAAGGGGAAGGCTCCACCTGCAAGAAAATTCCTTACTGAGAGGCTCGCTTCCATTGAAAAGGTTTCCTTTGAATCCTCCTGTTGTATGCAAAGAGAAGCTACTATAGCACAGCTGGTTAACAGTACCAAAGGACTTGCTGGGTTCCAAATGCTGAGAGGTGACCAAGGAGAAATAACATGAATTCATCTAGAGATTCAGATTTGAAGAATTTATTCTAGAGAGAAGACAAGTGTGTAAAGATATGTGGTCAAAGTTTTCAAATGTATCATTGTTATAATAACAAAGTACTAAGGGAACCTATGATGGTATATTTATAAAGTGTATTGCCTTGCATGTAACCATCAAAAGTGATGAAGCCTGTACTTAGTGACATGAAAAGATTTCTCTATGTTGGTGAGAAGGAAAAGCAAATTAGAGAGCTGTAGGTAGACTTTGTGTGTGTCTGAATGTCTAAGAGTCCAAATTCAATTACTTATAAGAACCAAGCAGGAAATGTAAATGAATAAAATAGGTTTACTTGTAGATAATAGTGAATGGTAGGGATTACTGAAAAATGGAGAGTTTGTATTCTGACAAGAGATTTAAATAAAAACAAAAACAAAATAAAGCAAAAATTGTGCCAACCAAACTAAACTTATCTACAAAAATGCAATTTGGTCCCTGAACTATCCCATACTTTATGACTAGAATAATTACTGAAAGAATGTTACGGACTAAATTGTGTCCCTCAAAAATTCATACGTTGAAGCTCTAACTCTCAATGTGACTGCATTTGGAGATAGGTCCTTTAAGGAAACAATTAAGGTTAAGTGAGATCATAAAGCAGGACCCTAATCTGATAGAACTGGTGTCCTCACGGAAAGAGGAGGAAACAACAGCCTGCACATTGTCGTTCTCTCTCTGTCTCTCTCGCTCTGTCTCCCCCTCCCCTCTGCTCCTCTGTGCTTGCACAGAGTAAAGACCATGTGAGGACACAGGGAGAAGATGGCCTTCTACAATCCAGGGACAGAGAAGCCTCGCTAGAAACCAACTCTGCCAGCACTTTTATGTTGGGACTCTAGAACTGTGAAAACATTAATTCCGGTCGGTTAAGCCACCTAGCAGTGGCATTTTGCTACTGAGCAGCTGAGCTGACCAGTACAGATGGGGTCTTTACCTCCATGTGCAAAGCACACTTTCAGTTTAGGAAACTTCTCAAACACTCCACCCATGATCATGGAGCAAATGGCTGTGGTGGTCTCTGCTGGCATTCCTAAAAGAAGAAAGAGTCACGAGGTAGAAGGCTTGTCACCTCTAGCAAGAAGTTCAGTGACTCTCATGGCTGGGGAATAGCAGTCAGTGCTGAAACATGGGGTCCCTGTGCCCCAGCATGGCTTTGTTGTTTACATGCTGTGACCTTGGCAGTCAGAACATCTGATGCTTTCTGTTTGCCATGTGCAGGTAGACTCAATCATCTAACGGCTAGAATAGTCAAGGAGCCAGAGGACCTGCCTTTTGTCCTGTTGCTCCAAACTTCAGTTTTGGAGGCAGTGGGGCAAGAGAGTACAATGAGTCTGGGCTGTAGCCTAACTTCTTCAATATTTTGTTTTCCAGACTTTGACAAATTATTTAAAACTCCTGAACCTGTGCTTCTTCACCTGCGAGATGGGGACAGTCTTGCTCATATTGCAAGGCTATCGTGGAGCCCTGCAACTGGTAATATCAGGAAAGTTCTCAGCCAGGATTTCATAGTGGGGTGATCAACAAAAAATAGTTGCCTTCCTGTGCCTCAATTTCCTCATATATAAGATAGGGATAATGGTTAGCTCTTGCAATTTAGTATGTTCTCAATAAATACTGGGTAATATTATTATTTCCTAATTTTTCCTGCTTCTTAGAGCTGAGGTTGAAAAATCTGTATGAAAGTGAATTATTTCAAGTGCTTTGTGATCTTAGGAACATCTGTTTCATGCCTGATGCCTTTACTTCCATGGAGTCAGTCCGGATTACTTTTTCAGATTGATACTGGCATGGCACCCAGAGTGAGGGAGGAGCCACAGGAGATGCCTGAGGCAGCACAAGTGAAACCATGCTGTTAGCACTGTATATGATGACAGATTTTCACACCCCCAGGCACAGATGTCCAGGAGGCCTTGTACAGAGTACAGGTGAGGCTAGCAAGAGTGATTGACAAAGGGAAAAGCTCTCCTATTCCCAGTCCCAGAGGACATAGCTGAATGTGTGTCACAAAGGTCAACATGGCTGCAGGGGGAGGTGCTGTCTGGTCAGTCTAGCCTGGGAAAAAGATGGGATTGGCTGTGGGAACTGGACCCTTCTGGAATGCATGGAAGTTTGGGTCAGGAGATTTAAACCAAGGGAAGGGAGAAATGCTTGCTCTTCTCTTTGGGACCCAGTGGCACACATGTGTGGGCTGGAGTGCTTGCAGGACTGGCTAGTTTTGGACGGTGTGTGCTGATGGTATGCTGGCCCCACATGTGGACCACAGGGAGGGAGCTTGAAGCTGGAGAGCCATCTGCTTAGCAGTCTTGGGCTCTGTTGGGAACTGCTCTGCCTGGTTTCAGGAGTTGTAACTGCCCCCCATGGCTAAGGCTGCGTGAGCAACCTTTGGACTGTGAGCCACTAAGGAGACAAAGCTTATCTCCCTGGCAGGAGCGCTGCTTCTGCTTCATCCATCTCTAGCCCCCAATGCTTGGTCGGTTAGTCAATGACGGGTATGACCTCTCAGAGCGGGGGCAACCTAAGCCAGACACAATCACTTGGGAGGCCCTGAAGGAAGGACTCGGGGGGCTACAGCAAAGAGGGGGTGATGGACCCTGGCCCAGCTTTTTGACATAGCCTGAGTCCCTATTTCCATCTGGGAAAAGTGCTTCTTGACTCTAATCCACTTAAGCCTAAAACCCTATGACTGGGAAGGCGGTGCAGCCCTTTGCCAGCTAGAGTGGGTTCCGGGTGATCTGGCATAAGAAAGAATTCCTAAAGTCCTGTGAAGCCTGCTTTCCTATGAGTGCTTTCATTCATATGATAAGGGTCCAAGCAGGAAATGAGTGTCTTCCAAAGTTTTTGCAACTCCCTTACCTGACAGACACTGACTCAGATTAAGTCCTCAGATTTCTTTGAAATGTTATCTGTTGTTTGATCCTTGCCCCCTGACATTGATTGATGAGCTTTACCTGTATTCCTGTGTGTTAAGTACCTGATAAAAGCTGTTGAAGACGAGGTTCTTGGTCTTTCTCCTCGGAGAGATTGACCACCTCTCCTCCCCGAGCAGATCATGTCTTGGTAGTTTCACTTTCATCCGTGGTGAACGGCAGGGGGACTTGTGGGCAAAGTTGCCCCCACAGGGCTCCAAAAAAGAGATAAGGATGGAGCAGGATTTCTGGGCAGGGTTTTGGATTTCAGTCTTTTTGGGAATAGATGGGCTTTGTCTGGGTTTTGCAAAACAGTTTAGCCTCCCAAAATTTGCAGCATTTTGATAAAGACCTCTTTCCTTCCAACCAACCTTTGTCTTTGGAATGTGCCTGTGGGTGGTAGTGGGAAGCCAAACCCTACTTTCTGTTTTGTAACAAGATGACTGCTTTTCAGACTGTGATTAAGAAGTCTCTGGGGGCTCCATAGCTAAGCCTTATGTCTTCTTACATTTTCACGATTCTCTGGCTGCCTAATGAGGCTTTAGCAGATGTTCATCCTACCCCATTGCTCCATGGGCAGAGACGCTCATGGCTCCCTGGCTTCTTGGGAATTCTGGAAGCATGATGGATTCACATCCATCTGGGAGTGGGCAAAGCTTCCTGAAGGCAGGGAAAGGAACAGCATTACTTGCTTTTGTTCCCGTGATTCTGCTTTCTATTAATTACTTGGACCATAACCCCACAATCCATTCTCCATACAGAAGCTAAAGTAGAATATTTACAATGTAAATTGATCATGGCCCCTGCTGGGAATCCTCCAATCCACTAATGACCACCTTTGCATCCAGAAAAGAATTCTGAAATTAGCCTGTTTGTTTGTTTATGACCTGTGTGCTCATATATTGTTTTTTTTACCTCTAACCAGCACATAAGCTTCAGAAGGGCAGAGGTTTTGTCCATGTCTATATTCTTGGTGCCTAGGATAGGTCTGACATTCTGGAAGAGATCCATATATATATATGTTACATAAATGAGTGATGAAATGAACTTTTACACAAATGCTCTCTATTTTTCATGTGGGGACTTGCATGGAGCATGCATGAAGCTAGCAAGAGTGCCTAACAAAGGGAAAAGTTCTTCTACTCCCTTCCAGTCCCAGAAGACACAGCTGTGCAGGTACTTTAGGTGTTGTGTGAATTAGGATGAGATTTCCTTTGAACTTGGAAAGCATTGGGGCTTCTTAGATTATCTCTTTCTGCTAATTGCTGCTCAGAAATTTGGTGGGGAATAGAAAGGAAGTTGCCTTGCTAGATATGTTGGTCTCCAAAAGCAATGCTGGGGGAATAAAATATCTGAGCAGAAAGAGAATGCAAATCAGCTCTCTCATTTTACAGATTAGGAACAAGGGCCCGAGCGGGTGAAGTAATTTGTCACAGGTTACACAGAAAAGTAAGCTAGCTGCAGCTGAGGTTCAGTTTTTCTACTTTCAAAATGTTTCTACTTTCAAAATTAAATGTCCATTTAATTTTTTATGGTAGTTACTTCATAATTCTTTGTATTAATGAGGCTGAGAGGAGAAGGAATAATTGCCTCTCAAAGAAAATCTAATACTGTTCATTTGGGACCACTTTTCCTTGGGTTTGTAGATGAGTTGCCCTTTTCACTTATGGCCCCAGAATTTTAAATCTTTCCTCATTTCTTTTTCTTATCAGGGATGATAATGAGAGACTGGATAGGTCAAATGGAGATCTCTCCTCTTTCCCTCCTATGAAACCATGAATGACTAGAGCAGGAGGCAAACAGCACAGTGTAGAGCCTCAGATCCTTGGGTGGTGTAAGGAGACCTTCCACTCCTAATTTCAGGGTTCTTATCTGTAAGCATTGATGCTATTATTGGCTTCTAAAAAATTCTATTAACCAGGCATGGTTACCTATTTTGGGGGAGCCTGTGTGGGAGTCTGTGGATTGAGGTGGTTTTGGACCCAGATTGATCTGTGTAATTCCATTTTCATTTATTAACTGTGTGACTGGGAAAGCTTTCCTAACTACTCTGACATTTAGTTTCTCCATCTATAAAGTCGTTATTATAATGTTAACTTCAAAGAGTTTTCTGTGGATATGATTAAAATGAAATGAGGCAGTATATACAGCACTGATCTGAGAAGGAGCTCGATAACTCACAATCCTATTAATACTTCATACTCTCTCTCTGACATAATAGTGTTCCATAGATTTGGAAAAAAAATAAAGATTAGATCCTCTTTTGTAGAATTCCAAGCTGACAGAAACCTATGAGCCAAGGGAGCCAGTATTTGGCCATCCGTCCATCCATCTGCATGTCCCAGGGGTGCACGAATAGGGAACAGTTCAGCCTTTCAGCTGCCTTCAAAGAAGGAATGAGAGAGAGAGTTATTTGGATGAGCCAGCAGATACAGAATAGTATTTTAGGGAACTTGCTTTTCTCTAAGTCTATATGGATCTGAATACATAAACCAAAATATTTTTTAAGTTGTTTCCTCATCTTTATAAAAGAGTCATTGATAAACCCTGCTCCTGCTTGGAAAATAAAAAGGACATTTAGATTTAAGAAGGGGGTTGTGGATTTACCCTTGAGGTTGATGAATTTAATATATTGTTTGGCAAAACAAGTCGCAGGAAACATCCATCCTTCAAATGTTTTGGCTGAGAGCAAAACACGTAAGGACTGCTCATGTACCTCAAATGCTGGGGAAATTTCCCCTGCCAGTTCCCTCCTGGTATGCATGCTGTTTTGGAAGGACTTCTCAGATTGTATCTTTGGAGTCAGGACTGAAGCGTTCTCTCCCTTCCTCCAATTGGAAACCTAGGATGTGGAAAGTGGGGAATGGTGCCCTGCGAGTCAGGGTTCAGGACTGGGCTGGAGTGGGCTGGCCGGACTGAAGCCTTTTGGTTACTCACAGTGTGGTTCTGTGTGGGGATTTCTGGGGTCTGCTGGCTCCCAAAAAGCCTCAGAGCCCAGCTGAGTCCTTAAATAGTCTAGTGTGAATGAAACGACTTTAGAAAGGAGAAAGCTCTCAATGCCTCAGTCAGGCATGTACTGAAATGAAGGCCATCAGGCGAACCTGTTCCAGGGCCTCCTGGGAGATGGAAATACCATCTGGATGGAATGACCTTTATTCAACAAAATGTTTAATTTTAAAAAGTCCCCTCAACAGGCATGAAATATTAATGCTTATCAAGGTGAAAGACACATTTTTCTCAGCACATTTTTTTTCTAAATATATTGGAGTGCTGAAGTGACTCTGATATAAATCTCATAATGGGTGCAGGCTGGAAAGAAAACATCAGCTTCTTGGGGTAGTTTGGCTTGACCAAGACACTTAATATGATATCTCAATGGGATTTGACTCCTCATTAGTACAAAACTTGATTCTGTGGCCTACAATAGTTCATTTCTATTCAATTCAAATTAGCAAATATTTTTGGTCACCTTTTATATGTGAACTGTTGCAGAGAACACAAACAGAAGTCATTTATATTCTCAAAATCATCATCCACATTAACTTAGAAATTACTGTGTGCCTAAGCTATTATATGACTTTACAATTATTAACTAGTTTAATTTTTTTAATGACATGAGCACTGGGCATTACTCCCATCTTACAGAGAAAAAAGCAGAGGTAGATAGAGGCTAAGTAACTTTCTCAGGTCTTGAAGCTGATGAGTGATAGAGGCAGATAGTCTGCTACTACCATTCGGTCTGCCTCATACTCATAACAAAGTCATTTTTGTGCCTGAAAACTGACATGAATGTGTATTGTTGGATTCACTCACTAAGAAGGGAGATCTAGGAAATAAGGGGGACAGTTAGATGCTCTGGAGCTCCAGGCTGATCTTGAAATGACAAAGCCAACTTGGCCCATGGTAACCCTTCTTATTTGTTTCAGCCCATGTTATTAACGCAAGTCATAGAGTATGAGGCTGGCAAGCCTTGCTATCCAAACAAATGTGCTGTCCATCCAGGACATCAGAAGTCTGCTGGGCCCGGGCTGCTCTCCTGGATCCCCTTGGGGACTACCAGCACCCCAAATAGCCTAGTTAAAGTGATAGATGGATTGAGGTCATCGCACCAATGGAAATACTATCCCTTTGGACCCCAGTCAGCTATTGTTGCTTTCTGAGCCCCTTAGTAATTCATAAACCCAATTCCAATGAATAATGAAATGACTTGCAGCTAAAGGTGGCTCACACTGTGCTGAAAATAATTGGGTGCAAAGTAAATAAATCCTCTTTCAAGGCTTATTAAAGTTTCTAGAAAACATTCATTCACGGCATTAGCTTAGTCACTACAGCCAATAAGGTTTGGGGAGTTCAATATTTAGAGGAACATTAAATCTTTCAGGTCAGTAGGAGGCAATTTAACACGCAATCCCCCAACTGGTGGTCAGTGTCAATAAGTACAAAAATGGAATTTTTTTCCATGTAGTCAGAGACTAACAGATGATAATAAAGAATAAATGAATAAAATAATAAATGAATAAATATATCAGTGATTACAGTGCCTAGTGAGTCCACTAACATCTATTTAATTCATTATTGAAGATTTTGCATTCACATTGAAAATAACAGAAAACTAATACTAATACAATAAATACTATCATAATTCTAGGAGGGAAGTAAACAACTTAAAAACATAGTCAAATATAAAATTATACATCTTGAGTCCCAGTACTGAGGAGAGCATGCTCAGTTGCAGAAAGGCTGGGAGGTAGAGCAGGACTGATGGAGAGGACTTTAGTCGAATTTTTCAGAAATACATGGCACTGAGTTTTTGAAAATATATTTATTTGTACAATATTTCAAATATTGAAAGTTTAAATAATTATACAATGAATATAAATGCACCATCTATTTTCATCAGATGCTAATGTTTTGGTGGCATTATTTTTGTTACATATTTTTATTGTGCATTTTCAAAATACAGGATCCAGCAGAAGTAAGGCCTGCTTGAGTGTGGTTTTATTATTTATTATTATCAAAGACAGCAATTTGAATATTTCACCTAAAATGTCATATAGTGTGCTTGAGTGTGCTATTGTTATGTTACAGAATTACATGCTTATGATTTTGTAATAAAAGATTTTGTAATAAAAAGGGGTGTTATTTGTGCCAGACCCCTGTATATGGCTTAAAAAAGTATCTTAGTTGAGGAATGATTAAATAAATCAAAACATATATTGGGATATTATACAGGTATTTAAAAATCATGCATTTAGACAATTTTTATTTGGGGTGGGAATTCTCAATTAGGATACAAAATCACACATATAGTAGAATATAGATATATACAAATCAAAAACAAATGAAATATACTATGGCAGTGGTTATTTATCTTTGGGTGGTTGAATTATGGGTTACTTTGATTATAGAATATGTTTTCCTTTTTATAGTCTCCTGTATTTCCCACAACTTCTTCAAAACCATCTTATAATTTTGAAAAATAAGTATTTTTTTTAAAGCAAAAATACTTTGTTTTGCACATCATTAATATGTTTCTTTTGCACAATGGCTGTGATAAGGGTAACATTTTGGCTTCCAAATGAAAGATTAAAAGGAGAAAATGGATGGGAAGAAAAGAGATTTCACTTGGTTAAGTCAGGACTGGCCTAGGAAGCATTCCCACTCACCCCTCTTTAGAGGAACAGCCCTCTCCTTTTGTTACAGAACAGAGGTCCAAGGGGGGCAACATATGGCCCACCCAGGGATGCCAAAAACTATTCCAGAACAACAGCCCCCCCCAGGGATAGTATATTAATACTGTCCTGACTACCTACTGGGCTCGTCTGTCCATTGCCAGAGGAAAGACATCTCTCAATGTCAGAGATTTGTGAAAAGAAAAGTAAAGGTTTATTTAGAGCTATACAGACTTAAAGTAGTGACCCAATGTCCCCATTAATACATCAATATATCCTTTAGGATAACCACAGATGCCCACAGTGCTTCCTCCCCCCCCACCCTAATTCGGGGTACCCTAATCTCAGGAAAAGAAGCACACATCCGTGTTTCCAGGCCACCAGCACCGTCCAGTGGGTTGCCGTCCAGGCAGGATCTCTAATTACTCCAAAGCCATGTGGTACCTTCTCACGGTCCACTGGCAAGAGTTCTTTGTACCCATTTTTTCAGGCAAAGTCTCTTCTGCTTCCTAGGCCACACGGCCAAAGGGAGCACCCCAAAGCTGCATGGGCTTCTTCTACCAAAGCTGCAGGGGTCTGTGCTCCACCAAAAGTGCATGGTACTTGAAAGGTTTTCTTAGGTTCCGCCGAGGAAGAAATGCCAATCAGCCACAAAGTTAGGCAGTATAGAGCTTTATTGGGGTTTGCACACCCAGGTGAGGTTCTCTGGTCTGCAGAGTGGGGCTGGGGAAGTCGCCCCCATGCAGGGAATATGGTGGGATTTTATTTTGATTGGCTCTCTCTGTGGGAGCTGGGGATTGGTCCCCTTTGAACAAAGTGGCAACATATCATTGGTCCTCCTTGGGCTCAGGTTGCTCTGCGAATAAAGCCTGCCCTTTTGGCTCTCTGGTTTGACAGCAGCTGTCTTTTCCAGGTTGTAGTTCAGCTGCCATTTTGTCCTACCCCGCCCATCCTGACAGTACTCTCTCTCACATGGCTGTGGGGGTTCCCACTCTGGCAAAGCTGCGTGGTACTCCTCTTCACATGGCTGCCATGTCTGGGTTTAAATCCCTGCGCCAATCTTCCTCTGCAGCCCCATTTCTGACTCCTTCCACAATCAGTTACACCTGCCAGCATTCCTGTATTATTCAAAGTTTACTGGGCTGCCATCATGAGTCTGGGCAGGTGTGGCCCCATGTCCCAGAGCCAATCATTTCCAAGCTCTCACACAGGCACTATAACTTGAGGGACCTTCCCCCAGTTAGGTCTTGGGTGGAAGTCACTTCCATCCTCCTGGCTCAGAGCAAGGCTACAGCTATTTAACATATCTATGCAGCCAGTTAAAGGTTATAGATATGTTAAATGACCACGCCAGAGGTTAGCTTAGAAACTGTTGCTATGCAAAACATCTCTAACTGGCCCTGCTCCATTTGTCCCTTCCCCCAACTGACACCTGTGGGGGGCCAGGGAAGGGGTGAGGACATCTTACAATGGATACCCTGAGTTCTGGACCCCATTCCAAATCCCTTTTTGGGGCCCCCCTCTTGACGTGCCCTGTTACACTTTGGGGGAGCTCTCTCTATGTTTCCTCCTATATCTCAGCATGTCAGCAGTCATCCATCTCCCTCTGTGCTCTCCCTGCCAGAATGCAGCAGACCCACTGGGGCCCTGGGGGTCCCTGATCCAGCCCCGCACACTCACTGCGTAGACAGGGAAGAGCTCCTGAACGTTCAGGACCCACTCATTGATGTGGGAGCCAATCTGGACCCCAGGGAAGCCCAGCTCCTTCACACAGCGCTCCATCTCCTCAACGGCCAGCTTGGGGGCCTGCATGGGCAGTGTCCCCAGACCCATGAACCTCCTGGGGTATCTCGCTACAGTAGCAGCTAAGTCGTCATTTAAAAACTGGCACAGGTCTAAAGTGTCCTGAGGTTTAGCCTGGTAGAGACAGGGAGGGGAAAACCACATCATTCAAAATCTTCTTCTTTAGATATTTACTCTGAACATTACCTTCCCTAGGCTAAACCACTTGTTGCTATCTGTGGCTTGCAACCCACGTTCCCACCCCTGCCCCCACAGGCAGCTCAGGCACAGACTGAGATAAGCACTTGCTGCAGAAGACCCAGAAGCCAGTCATTGCAAATGCAAAGGAAACTGCTAGTATTGCTGATGAATTAGAAATATTGAGGCTATAATTTTAAGGAACAGACATGATTACTAGGCCTGGCATCCCTACCCACTGTAGACAGGAGTCTGCATGGCTGCACACCTAGGCACCCTCTCCCCGCATGCCCCCCTCCTCGCCACAGGAGGCTGGGGCTGACCATTGTCTGACATCACCAGGGCACCTTCTTATCAGGTCTTACTGTGAGACATCAGTGTGTTCACATACCACTCCTGTCCCTGCTTCTTCTCCCTCTCTCTCCTGTTGGCTGTGGCGCTCACAGTTACCCTAGCAAAACGCTGATGCAGATGACGTTTGCGTTCTCTTTCCCTAACTCTTCCTTCTACACCTTCTCACCCCATTGCCAGGAAATTTGGCATTCTCCTGCAATCCCAGTTGTCTAGTCAGAGTGATATCCAATCTGATAAATTTAGACATATTGAGGTCTTAAGGGCATTTTTAAAGCCATAAATCTAATCACAGGAACAATAAGGACTGAATCACTAGTAATGGAATTATGAGCACAGGTGGGCAAAGTAGATGTGAGCAGGTGGTATTTCCATTGCTCCTTAAATCATAATGCAAGTGAATATTTACTAGTTTGAGCAGGTTCTTGGTGCACCTGCAGCTATGTACAAAGATGTTCTTCCACAGGCTCTCGGTAGTGCCTGAAACTTTGAGTGCTCCAGACTTAATCACTTGGGGAAAAGCACCCAACTCCAGGAATCTTAGTTTGAATCACATATTTCCCTGGGAGAGACAACATATTAGGCCATTATTATCCTCTCCACTTCAAAATCATTGTCACCTCAGAATAAATTGGCTTGTTAATTACTGAGTAAGGCAGTGCATGGAGGAGTCATCAGTTCTGACGGAAGGTTAAGGTTGGGTTTAGAACTGTGCTGTCCAGGGGAAATGCAGTGGCAGTCACATAGCGATGTGCGGCTACTGGCTACTATACTGGACCATGTGGGTCTAGAGCAAGGACAGGGTGAAGAAGAGTGGCCTGGGAGGGCACACTGCAGTGTGAGAAGCTGAGGGACCCCACTGGTCTCTGGTGGAAAGAAGTGGAGGGGAGGTGGGGCAATGTCAAGACCTGAGTCATCTACCTACTTGCCAGACATGAGCCTTCACCTACCAGTGAGATGGTTTGAAGTTTCACACTCACCCAGTAGCTAAACATGATGGGGACCATGGAAAAGGGCTTGCAGGGTCACTCCTAGACACAGACACAAAGAAAGGCAAAGCCAATGAGAAGAGTAGCCAGACACTGTTTCTGCATTTCCCAGGAATTCTCAGCCCGGCCTCCTCTTGCTCCCCCCTCCCTAGCTGCCCCTCCCTGGCCCCTGTCTCTCGGGATCTCTGGTCCCAGGCCTGCCTCATTCCTCAGTCTTGGATTCTAGGTGGAGGGCTAAAGGCTGGACAAAAATGAGATCGTTTACAAAGAACTAATTGGCCCCATTTGTCAAGGGTTATTTCCACTCTCCTTTTTTTGAGAAGTTCTATTTAAGCAAGTCATTTCCCCAGCAATCTTTTCAGGGCTTTTCATCTTAGTTCATTCATGGCTAAATGTGTTTCTCAGCCACCTTAATTCAGCTCCTTGGTGGGCCTGGGTCCCACTGTCTGGAGTGCTCAGAATGGGGGCCTGGATTTGGCTCCAGAATCCAGCATTTGGCATGCCTAGAATCTCTTGTCTCCAAGCTCTTGGAGCTGGGGTATCAGGAGAGAGGCTGCCAGATGGAGGGTCGCTCCTCTTGCCCTCGTACCCATGTCCAACCCACCAGCAAGACCTGTCATCTCTACTTCAGTTCCGCATCCACCCACGTATCCCATCCCCTGCCACTGCCTGATCCAGGCCATCATCTTCTATGTGGACCACTGCAGAAGGCTCTGAACGGTGGTCTCCTACCACCATTCTTGTCCTCCTATGGTTTGTTCTCTACTCAGAAATCAGAGTAATATGTTAAAACTTAGATCAAGTCATTCTCTTGGCCAAAACTTCAAGGACTTTATATCATACTAGAGTAAAACCCAGTCTCAAACATAGTCTACGAGGCCCCATTCAGTCTCTCCCAGGACTCACGTAATCTTCATTGGCTTCCTGACTGTGCTTTGGAATTCTTTTCTGCCCCAGGACCTTTTCATTACTGTTCCACCAGCCTGGGACGCTTTGCTTTGGTTCACCACAGGATGGGCTCCATTTTATCCTAAGGTCTGAGTTCAAGTGTCACCATCTCAGAGAGGTCTTCCCACTGTTATCTATCTCATCATTCTATTCCTTTCCTTTTCTGATAGTTAATTATAGGCTGTCATTTCTATGTTTACTTGTTTATTCTGTGCCTCCTCCTACTCGAATGAAAGCACTGCGTGAGCCTGTATTTCTGTGCCATAACCCCAGCACCGGGCAGTGCCTGGCACATTGACCATACCCAGGAAATGACAGACTATAGCTTTTGATAAGATAGTATTGTTAAGCATTGTCACAAGATATTATTTACATTCATTGATTAGTATCAAACAGATGAGTACTTTTCGGTTGTGAAGCCTTTTACACTTTACATAAAAACTTTCACTTACATTACTCATCTCATTTCTCTTTTACAGATTAGACCTAAGGCCATCTGTTTTGAAGGTGGTGTGATGAGGCCCCCTTCCGGCCTTGCTCCGCCCCTCCATCCCAGCGGCCAGCACTTGTCACAGTGTTTCGTATCAACACAATAAATTGTGTGTTGGTTCCTTTGAATACATATTCTTTGGTTTCTGGGAACAAAAGGGGGAAAAACAAGTCTAATCCAGTTAGAATTTGTATATTTTAAAATAGGGGGGTTTAACAGCATGACATAGCACAACGTTTCGCAAATTTATTGATTGATTAAAATGGGGGGTTTTGCAGAACATTGTAAAAAACAAATTCCTAGGCCCTCCTTCAGAAATTTTGATTTAGTGGATGGGGCCTGGAAAATTTTTTTTACCAGCACCCCAGGTGCCCCTTATACTGAGGGAGATTTGGGAAAAGCTTCTGTGGTGGAACTAGAAAGATAGTCCCAGTTGTAGTCCCTGCTCTGCTGCTCTGCCATGTAGTCCAGGCAAATCGCCTAAACCCCGACCCCTTCCGTAACAGTAGGTGCCTCAGTGCCTGCCGCTTAGAGGTACTGAGACGGGATTAACAGTGAGCAGGTGTGTGAAACTACTCCTGACCCCTCTGGGGCCTCTCGGACTCCTTCCGCATAAAGGACTGCTCTCCCCAGCCAGCCCTCACTTCGCCTAGATGCCTCACCAGTTCTGACCTTCCTGGATCTGTTCTAGAACTGGCTTTAATAGGAACTCAACCTAGTCGAGGACTCAGAAGATACTTACATGTATATTATCTCATTGTTATTATTTTGGTCTTTCTGAGCTCTGTGTTGGATCTTGTGCTGAAGTGACCCAGGGGCTGCCAGTTACAGTTGCCTCCCTGTGAAGATGGCATGGATTGCTAGAACCTTCTGTGTTGGGCCTTCATCATTTTGTTTTCTTATCTCTGCAGAGGTGGTAGGATGTGGCTGTTCATCCCTTGGGGCCAGACTGCCTGGGTTCAAATTCTGGTTCTGACCCCTACAAATTAAACTGTGTGATTTTGGACAAGTTGTTTAACCTTTGTTCCTCAGGTTTCTTCATCTGTAAAATGGGCATAGTAGTAAAAGCTACCTCCTAAGGTTGTTATAGGGAATAAGTGAGTAAATACATGGGTGCTGAGAGAAGTGTCTGGCACAAAGTAAATGCTCAGTATGATCATGCCTCCTTTCTGCCAGTGAATGAAATCCACAGCAAAAACCTGAGAAGATGCTCTTCATCTAAACCAACACCAGTCATCCAAATCTTTTTTCCACTGGTTTTCTCCTTGAATGGCGGGCGGGGAAGGCGGGGCAGGGGGAGGGCTAGGAACCTTGTTTGAGCTTTACATTCAGAGCAAAAGTTTGCTTTTTGCTGTGGGTCTGAGAAGCTGGTTCTTTCTCCCAGTCCCATGTAGTTCTAGAACAGGAGCATGGGCACTGTCTTCTGTGGAATGGTTTGCAGGGGTGCTTCGGGGTTTCTGGGAAGTTCAATTTGAATGTCATTTAAATATACATTTAATTACTTAAAAAAAAAAACTATAAAGCAGTTCCTGGCCTAAAGTATCCTGCCCCAAATTCTAGCATGCCAGAGACCACGCCCTACTTGGGGCTGACAGGTAAACTCGTTTTGTGCAGACTGGAATTAAATGTTTCCTGCCATCTCTGTGTATGTATTTCAACTTCTTATACATTTATCTCTGATTAAGAAGTGGTAGTTCTAAGCTGCTCCTTCATTTGTGGGTATGAATTGCTTGCTTGCTGGTTTAAATCTAGACCACTGGTGTCAAAATTTAGGCCTGACAGTGTCGTAGTTGTGAGCACCCTTTCACAGTGGTGAGCTACGCGTGAGCATGGCCCACGAGTGCCCAGAAGGCTCAGCACATCTTTGGGTGGCGCCGTCAGCTAGGCAGCAACAAGAGAGCACAGGGTGGCTGCCATACCATATTTCAGATAGTCTTTAAAATCCTTTTAAATTGTGGAGACTCGTTTGCTTTTTAAACATAAGATAAGGAATGCAAAGCAGTCCTTAGAAATCACTAGTGATTCAGCTCAGAAACAAAATTTTCCCAATTCTCCTCTTTCAAATTTCTTAATTAGTGTTATTGTAGACTATTCTGAGTGTACACTATTAACTTTGTTTTTAATTGCTCCCATTTCCACCCCTTATGCGTCCACAGGGACTTTCTGTGTACTGAGCACTGAGACAATCGGAAGTAATTGGATCCTCAATCTGACTAAGCAGGAAATTGGCATCTTTACTCTGTGAATCCTAATTTGTACTGTTTTAACTGACTTTATAATAAGTGAATACTATACATTTAAACTTAAAAAGGTTTAAAATAATAAAATGACACTTTTATATTTTTTATGACACACTATTCTCCTTTAAAACAGGGTCTATCTAATTTTTAACAAATTTAATCTGCACTGAAAACATTACAGTAGCAGGTCCCATCCTGCCCCCAGTGAAGCTGGAGCAGCCTGGCCCAGTGGAGAAAAGGCGATAGAAGTTACCATCATGTAAATCCTGTGAAGCGATCAGCAGACTTTTGGGAGAAACATGCTTTTATATCATATATAAAAATTGGTGCTATTTCTTGTTTTAAGTACCTGTTTGGTCCATTTCTCTAATACGAACTTCTGGATCCCAGCGGTTCTCTTGGACCACCCTGAAAACCTTCCCATCTTTCAGCATCTTTGCGTCTCCCTAGGGCAGAAAATGCACATCAGCAGAAGCTAACCTGAATTTACTTAGATTAATCCTTCCTTGTATGCTTTAGAACTTGGTTCTCCCCTAAAATTTTAGGGGTTACTTAATTCTCAACAAAGTATAAATCTATTCATTGAACAGAACCCAGCTTTTCATCCTCAACCTTAATACTAGACTGCAGTTAAAGGGGTGTGCTCTGTAGGTATCAGTTGTTGGAAATAGAGAGAAACAAGGTCATGGTCATGGCCTTTGGGGGCTTCATGACTGAGGATGAGTGGTCACCTTGTCTATGTGAATCACTGGCTACAAGCCCTGAGAAGAAGGCCCAGTGTCTGGAAAACTGCAGCTCACAACATTTTAGGATTGAAAAGGGTCTTTGAGATAGAACATTGAATCCAGCCCTCTGGTTTTATAGAAAAGCAACAGATGGATGGTGAGAATGAATGATTTGTCTAACAGAGCAGGGCCCACCGATATCAATGCCTGCAGGAGGAGGTGGGCACTGAAGCGGATCATCTAGCAGCATGTATGCAACTCGGGGCTGAGCTGCTGGCTTCTACCTGGCACCGTGCCAGCCTGCGTGCACCTTCTCCTAATGAGCAGTGCAGGGGCCACAGTGAATGGCTGTGTAAGGGCGTGGCAGTGGCTTCTGGATCAGGCCTCCAGGTTGTGATCCCTAAAGAGAAGGGAAAAGTTGTGATCCGGGTCCCTGAAATCAGAACTCCTCAGTTTCAAGTCCCCATTCTACTACTTACTGTGTGGCCTTGGGCAAGTTAAACAACATCTCTGAGCCCCAGTTTGCTTATCTTTAAAATAGGGATAATAATATGACTTCTCTTAAAAAATTACATAACTTACCTTAAAGGGATCCTATGAGCATGAAATGGGGCAATCCATATAAAGCACTTAGTGGAGTATCAGACACATGTGAATTGTTAGCTATTCTAAGTATCAGTTATTAGTGACATAAGGCTAATTAGGGACTAGGCTATCTGGTGTCCCCCGCTTTGAGGACTCACCACCTCTGGTGGTGCTTTAGGGCCCCAACATCGCCCTTGGGCCTCGTGTGGTGGCCAAATGGGCACAAGGTGATCAAAGGCCTTGAGCTCTGCTTGATGGAATCCTTGCCCTCCTACTCTTCTCCTTGGCTTGATTAGGAGTTGTACACAGTCCTTGCCACAGCCTCATTCTCCACCCTTCTATCTCTTGGAAAAAACCGCCCCCAATTTCTGCTTGCAGAGAGCCAGCCACTTTCCACCTTCAGGTGTAGCCACCCTTCACGTCTGACTTGCATGACAAGACCTCATATCCATGTTTTCCTTTTTCATGGACTGGGGCAGAAGGTCAGTGAGCAATTGACTTGTGTAATTGTGTAATTCTGCTTTACACAAGCAGAACCAAGTCTCTGATGTTGGGACTCAGGATTGATTTGCCTCAGTTCTCATCTTTTGCTTACTATGCTGACCTCTAAACAACTTTCCATGGTTGGGAAATCTCCTGTGAGATTCTTAGTGGGGGCAGAATCCAGCCCTTAGTGGGGGCAGAATACAGCCCAAAGCCCAAATTTGTGCCCTCTTTGCCCTGAGCTTGTCCAATCGGTGCTTGGTTTTTAATCAAGAGCAAGTGATACAAAACCACAGAACAGTGAACTTACTCTGCCAGTGACCCCAGCAGTGGCCCCGTGCTGCATCCGTTGGCAGGGGCACTGGTGGTGGTGTTCAGCGTCCAGCTGGGCGGGGCCGGGGGGCAGCTCTTTGGCCAGGCTGTTGCTGTGGTATATAGGCTGGCTGTGGCTTCAGTCACTAACACGTTTCATGGGTTTGGTTCCCGAGGCACTTTGTAATTCTTGAGGGTCTTAAAATACTTGCAACAAATTCCTTTTATACTTAAATGAACTGTTGTTGGTTTCTGTTGTTTGCCCTGAGTGGCACAGACTGCACACACGGGCTCACCTTTCCGTTTGGGGAAGGAGGGAGAGGGGAGAAGTTGATGGTGAAAGAGAAAGCTGGGAATGCACTTTCATTTGGCAAATTAAAAGTTTTCTTTTTCTTTTACTTCTTAATCATGAAGTTTAATCACCATAAAATACCCTGAATAGTAGAGGGCTGAGGAGCAGGATCTTAGTATCCGGACAGACCTGGGTTTAAATCTCATTAAAGTACTTACCAGCCAGTGGTATAACTGGCTAAGTTATGGGCCTTCTGAGTTTAAGCCTCACATTTTCTCTCTACAGAACGTGGGCCATTATATTTGTCATATTTGTGGCTGCTCGACATCTTTGAAACACTTTGTATGCATGAAGAAAATTTCACATCATGATTCCTCCTTCCTGAGGGAAAATCCAGAATTCACTTTCCCAGCGTCCGTGGTGGCAAGGGCACTGGCGTGTGCTTTGGGCTCTGCCGGAGGTGCCCACACGTGACCTTGACTGGGAAGTGAGCACTGTGAGGAAGCAGGCACTATGTGGAATCTATCTTTTGGTCCGGGTGTTGTCTGAGACATCAGACATGGCTGGAGGAAACAACAATGCTTTGGTGTCCAGTCTCAGCAGCATCAGCACGCATGTGAGCTTCCCATGACCAGGAGTGGTGGCACTCACTTGTCTCTGCTGCAGCAGCCTTGTGGGTATAACTGGACCTTGTGTGCATTCGCCCCACCTCTGAGCTTGATCTCTGACTCTCCCAGCAAGTCTGTGAGCTGCTTTTGTAATTTAACTGGCTGGAGTGGGTTCTGTTATTTACAACTAAGAACACGGAGTGACTCAGAAGATTCGATAATAGAGTGCTTGTAAAGAACATACCAAGACAGAGAATATGGTAAATCAGTAATGGCCAGATTTTACTATCTACACTAGTCCCCTCTTATCCATGGGAGGTATGTTCCAAGACCCCCACTGGATGCCTGAGGCTAAGGAGAATACTGAACCCTATACATATACTATGTTTTTTCTTGTATGTGTATATCTGTGATAAAGTTTAATTTTTAAATTAGACACAGCAAGAGATTAACAATACCATAATAGAGAAATTATAACAAAATGCTGTAATAAAAGTTATGTAAATGTGGTCTCTCTCTGTTTTATGTCTTCACCTGTAAATGTAATGCCTTCTCCATCTTAACCAAGCATTTAACATGCCCTGTGGTTTGAGGTATGGCAGTGAAACCAGTGGAAATCTCTTCTCCCTTTTTCAGTTTCACGGGGAGATGATTCATTCTTACCATAGATCTTGGCCCTCTCAGCATGTCATTTTTTCTTCTTTCATTGAGAACTTCCACCTTTTCATTTAAATGAAGCACTTCATGGCTTCTCCTTGGCACATCCAAATTGCTGGCACCACTAGCCTTGTGCTTTGGGGCCATTGTTAAGTAAAATAAGGGCGACTTGAGCACAAGCACTTCGACACTGGAACGCTGGATCTGATTGCTGAGATGACCGCTAAGTGACTCACGGGTGGGAAGCATATACAGTGTGGATGTGCCGTCCTGGGTGGGACGGAGTGGCACTGTTTTGAGATTTCACCATGCTGCACAGAGTATCACACAACTTTAAACTCACAAATTTTCCACTCAATGTTTTCAGACTGTGGCAGGTAACAAATGGTGGATAAAGCAGGGCTGCTATATTATCAATGATAAGGGGGGAAATTGGGCTTTTCTGGGAGGTGCATGAGTGAGTCTGGGTTTAAGACAAAGCAGAGTAATTTAAATCAGGAATAGATCATTTAGTTCCACTCAAGAATTTACCAATGAACTGACCAAGATGGAGGCGTAGGTGGAAATACTGTGCCTCCCTGCACAACCAAGTTTAAAGACAACAAAGTTTTAGTAACAAAAACGCAACCAAAACACATAAAATTGAACTGTATGAAAGTCCAACAACAACGAACCATTCATCCAGACCATTTGCTTGTGGGAAGCAGCAGAGGGGACCAAAATCTGAGAGAGAGTGGAACAAATGCCATTGCCCTTCTCTGACCCCGCCCCCACATATAGCGTCACAACCCAGCAACTGGGTTGCTTGGTTCTGGTCCACCCCTCATATGTAACAGGTGCAAACAGACCAAACCATTATGGCTCAAGAGGAACAGCTCAAAGCCCCAGAGCCAATACTTCTAAGCAACCAAAAGATAGCCAACCTATCAGATGCACAGTTCAAAACACTGGTGATCAGGATCCTCACAGAACTGGTTGGTTTTAGCCACAAATTAGAGGAACAAATGAAGGCTAAACTAATTGAAATGAAGGGAAGTGCACAGGAAACCAATAGTGATGGAAAGGAAACTGGGACTCAAATCAGTGGAGTGGACCAGAAAGAAGAAAAAAAATGACCAAACTGAAAAGAATGAAGAAACAAGAATTCAAAAAAATGAGGAGAGGCTTAGGAACCTCCAGGACATCTTTAAAAGCTCTAACATCTGAATTATAGGGGTACCAGAAGGGGAAGAGGAACAGCCAGCCACCAGTGGAAAACTTATTTGAACAAATAATAAAGGAGAACTTCCCCAGTCTGGCAAAGGCAATAGACTTCCAGGAAATCCAGGAAGCTCAGAGAGTCCCAAAGAAGTTGGACCCAAGAAGGAACACACCAAGGCACATCATAATTATATTAGCCAAGATTAAAATGAAGGAGAGAATCCTAGAAGCAGCAAGAGCTAAGGGGACAGTCACCTACAAAGGAGCTCCCATCAGACTGTCAGCTGATTTCTCAAAAGAGACCTTATAGGCAAGAAGGGGCTGGAAAGAAGTATTCCAAGTCATAAAAGCCAAGGACCTACATCCAAGATTGCTCTATCCAGCAAACCTTTCATTTAAAATGGAAGGGCAGATAAAGTGCTTCTCAGATAAGGTCAAGTTAAAGAAGTTCATCACCAAGCCCTTATTATATGAAATGTTAAAAGGACTTATCTAAGGAAGAGAAGATAAAAATATGAACAGTGAAAGGACAGCAAACTCACAGTTATTAACAACCACACCTAAAACAAAAGCAATCTAAGAGG